GGATGGAGTCTTCACAACTCTGGGATCAAGCAACATTCTTACCTGTAATCCTTCCAGGAAGACTGATTTTAAAGCTACTGATGCTCTCAAGCCTGTATAAACATAGAACTCGGCATGGCTGCATCTCTCTTCTGATTATGTGCCTTGGCCAGGGGCCAGGGCCCTTGCCAATGGCATGGATGATTCTGAAACCCTCCCCCTAAGGCAATACTTCCTGAAAATCTGGTGCTCAATAAAGCAGCTGGTGTCTGATATCACACAGCCTGTGGTGTGTGCTGCTGTGGTCTCGGGTGGGTGACCTGATGGTAGGAATGAAAGGAATTCCTGGGACGAGCAGCAGGGCCCAAGGGCCTCATGGAGGCCTCAAATGGGAAGCTGGGGCATCCAGTGCAGGAGCCCAGGTTCTTCCTCCAGAATACACAAGGCTCCCACACTCCCACTCTACTCTAGGATTCAAGGGGAACATGCTTTCAGGTTCTTGAAGCCGTGAATGGGGTGAAAGAGGGTGAGGCAGAGGAGGACTCATCAGAGGTCACCACCTAGGAGTGTGCTGGCAGCCACATCTTCTCAGTAGCTCACTGGGAGCCTGGTTGGCAAGGGAGCCCAGCTGACTGCAAACCCTGGAAAACAAAGCTTGCTCCTGCTTTGCTGTTTAAAAAAGAGAGTACCTGAACCAAGTCACACAAATCATTATTTATTTCCTGGGGCCTAATTGTCACTTATCTTGGTAAAAAGGGCACAGAATTGCTCATTTAGTTTTGAGCCCAAATTTCTCTAAAACCGGATCTGCGAAGCTCCGTGTGGGAAAGCCCAGAGCAGCACAGATGGTCAATTGAGCTTAAGATGGCTTCCAGAAAATGTGCAATGATTGTCGGCTCCCTTTCTCTCTCCTGAAAAAAGGTTTGAAGTTTTTAAAAAGTTTAAAAGTATTTTTTAAAAAAGGGATAAGAAGGTCTTGACTGAGAAGGCTAGGGTTGGAAAGGAGGGGTGCTGGGTGGGATATGGTCCCTGTCCAGGCCCCCCTGAAAGAAGTGTGCCCATGTCGGCTGCTCCCAGGTAGGCAGGATGTGGCCCATGCCCAGTACCAGCTGAATAAATAACACCCCATGGGTACAGTGTCTCCAGATGTGCCTGGGCTCAGTGAGAAGGAGGGGGACAGGTTGGAGCCCAGGGGTGTGGGCAGAGGGCTTGTCCAGAATAGGGGCCATAGAGGCCTCTGAGGGGCCTCTCAGGCTAGCCTGTCTGGCCTGGGACATGGGCTCAGAGAAGAGGTTGGGCCAATGCCAGGGTTCATTTCCATAGGGGACAGCAGGCTCTCTCCAGCCTCCATGGATGAGGCTGGACTCAAGGTGAAGCGGTCCCATCGCTGCTTTCAGGTGGCTTGCTGGCCTCCTTGTCTGCGGTGCTGGCCTCTGCCTGACCTTCTGGAGGAGAGAAGGAAGAGTGCATTTTCTCAGGCACTTTTACACACATGGAAAGCACAGAAGGGAACGGCTGGCAAGCTGATATTGGCGGCTAGCCCGGTGGAGTAGGATGAGGATGATGGTGGCCAAAGGGGACTTCAGCCTGCACTGTAATATCTTACATCTCACCACATAAATGCAGTGTCACTAGTGAAATTAAAATTCAATTCGAGCCAGGTGCGTGGTGGCGCACCCAGTGACTTGGGAGGCTGAGACAAGAGGATTGAGAGTTCAAAGCCAGCCTCAGCAGTGGTGAGGCACTAAGCAACTCAGTAAGACCCTGTCCCTAAATAAAATACAAAATAGGGCTGGAGATGTGGCTCAGTGGTCAATAGCCCCTGAGTTCAATCCCTAGTACCACCCCTGCCCCCAAAAGAAGAAGAAGAAAAGGTCAATTAGAGGTCAGGATTGTGCACCAGTGCTAAGAGCACAAGACAAAAGGCTACTGAGGGTCAATGCACCTGCGCAGTTTCCCAGAGGGAGCAGGTGCCGGTACAGGTGCTCAGCAAATGGGAGCTGGTCCTGAAGGCACTGAACCAGGCCAGCTGAGGAGTGCCAGGGATGGCCTGCATCACGGATTGGGGGTCTGATGGCACATCCTGGTGTGCATCACACTTCTGGTGACTTCCCCGATTCCCTCACCCCATCCAGCTAGAAACCTGGGCTGGGCGGGGATGAGGGCGGCAGCAGCCTAAGGAGCCACTTGTGCCATGAGGCGGGTGTGAGCTGGGTCTCCTGACTCCCAGCTGCTTTTGTCCCACTGTGGAAAGTGGGAGGGGAAGGCCCTGCCAGCACCCCCTTCACCAGCAGCGGAGGTGAAGTACCATTCACTCCCAGTACCCCCAGTCTCTGTGTCCCCGCTAGCAGGGGCCCACACAGGGCTGGTGTGCATGCAAAGCTCAGTCAGTGGTGCAGTTTGTTCTTTTCAATATCGAATGAACCCAGGGCCTCCACGTGTTAGGCGAGTCCTCTACTACTTAGCTCTACCTCCAGCCCCAGTGACGAACTGTGAAAAGTCACCAGGTGCCCTCCAAGCTCACTAAGGGCCTGCACGCAAATATAGTCCCATAGGACACACTTCCATCTAGGGCTCTCAGGCTAAGCCCCACCTGTGACTAAGGAGATCCCCCCCCCCTCCAACTCTATGCTAAGTTTTGGGCTCTGCAGGCCACGGGCCCTTCCCCACACGATCCACATGGCGACCTGCAGGTGCAATTATGATTATGATGCGTGTGAAAAAATGTGGCTCAGAGAGGTGAGCTGCCCTGCCTGGATCAGGGTGGAGAGCACCTGCATGCTGCCAGAGCTGGTAAAATCCACCCTCTAAGAGCACAGTGCTCTGCAGTCCACCAAGGCCAAGGTCTGCATGACCTCACCCTGCCCTCAGGCAGCTTCAGGACAGGAGTGCTAGTTAGGTGGTGACTGTGTGGGCAGAAGGTGGCAGTCTGGCTCTCCAGCCAGTTCTGACCTCTGCCCCCAGGTTCCCTTACATCCTGTGATGGGATCTAACAAGGGCCTGGCCCTTCAAGGCTCCTCTGGCCTCCAGAAGCCTGACCAACTAGACGGCACTTTAGGTGACATTTCTACCATGTGACACCTTACTTGGCTCTGAGCTTCCTGCCCTGGCGAACAGGTCCCCCCTGTTCTCTGCTCTGCTATTCCTCTGTTGTGGGACCTCAGACAAGTCACTTGATCTCTTTAAGCTCTGCCTCCTGAGCTATAAAGCAGGATGGCGACACTCCACTCAGACCACAGGGGCTGGGGCCGTCCACAGTCATCTGGCATGTGGGAGTGGAATAGGCTCAACCATTGGTGGCTTCGTCTGTGCCAGCCTTGGGTCCCTGGCCAAGAGAAGGCTCTCCAGCACTTCCTGTTGCACTAGCACCCCTGGCCTCCCTCAGGAGCAGCTGCAGAGTGGGATCAGGAATGCTGACCATGGAGGGCAGGCATTGGCTTCTCCACGCTTGGCCTGCTGCTTCTCTCATTATTAGGCATAATAAGGAAACATCTGTGCTCTCTACATAAGAAATACCAAGAAAGACGGAAGGTTTGTGCACAGCTGCTGCCTGGGCTAACATACATGAGCAGGCCCCAGACTTGGGGAGGCCGGGCAGCTGCAGCTTCTTCCCAGCCCTAGCTGCAAATTAGCCTCCTGGAAGCTTTAAGCAGGAGAGGCTGCTCTGGGTCCCAGCATGGGCCTGTTGGGTCAGGACCTCTGAAGTAGTGCTTGGAGACTCTGACTCAGTGAGTCCCGGGACTTAGCTCAGTCCAGACCCGCCTGATGACGCTGCTCACTGAGGCCTCCTGTGAGGGATCTTGGACAGTCACTCCTGCCTGGACTCCACTGTGAGTGCTTCACATTCTTACAATGTTCTGTCCTCATGTCTCCTTCCCAAAGGTCAGTCACTCTGGCAGACAAACGTCATATACTTAAGGACCCAGACACTTCAAGGATTCTGAGTCAGACAGTACAGACCATGTTAGAAGGACCTGGGTGCATGGCAGAGTAGCCACAAGGGCTGGAATGGGAGGGGGGGGCAGACAAAATTTACCAGAGCTGAGGGGGAGGACACAGAAGCCTTTAGGGAGCCCCTGGCAATGCGCCCAGCATGACAGTTGAGCATGCTGTCCGTTCAGCTGGCAGGGAGCAGCCATTGAGTAAGCATCTTCCACGTGCTGACCACTTCCAGGCACCGCAAGCACACTGGAGCAGCTTAGTACAGGGGTGGGGGGGCAGCTGTGGTAAGGGGTCTAAGGAGGTTGCCCACACAAGGGGGCCTCTCTCTGAGGGGGATGTGGTCAGGCAAGGCCTCTCAGCAGAGCAGGTGTCTTCACAAGTGAGAAACAGCCAGGCAGGGGAGGAAGGAAGAACCAGACAGAGGAGCTGATAGGGCAGTTTTGAAAACAAAACTTTTTTCTGTCTGGATAGGGAGGAAGTGAGAACTGAGGCTGGAGAGGGGAGCAGGATGGCAGCTGAGGTGGCGTCCACACCTGGGTAAGGCACTTGGGCCACATCACCAGGGAGAGCCTGCAGACCTTCAAACAGGAGGTGTGGGTGCGTGGGGTTCCTGCAGCAGGGGTCAGGGGTTCTTTCTCGAGGTAGAAAGACTATCAGGATGACCCTGAGCAGGCCACCCAGCAAGTTAATATAGTTCCCTGGGCCTCAGTTTGTCCACCTATAACATGAGAGTTAGGTTCTGAAGTCTTCTGTTTTGTCCCTGTAGGTTATTTCTGGGCAGCAAGGACCAAGAACTCTAGGCTGGGGCTCTACAGAGCTAGGCAAGACTATGGCTTCCTCCTGGCCTCCTCACACCCACTCCCACCCCTCCCCCAGCTTGTTACTGTAGCCAGCAGAGTTCCTTCTAACCATCCTATAAGCATTGCCCTGGAGAGGTGGGTGCAGATAGCCCAAAGCTCCAATGCCCTGTGGGAAGTGATGTGATAGTCACGACCTTGGCCTTGGAGGTGCTGTGGAAGCCTTTCTCAGAGGAAAGGGCCCTGGCCAGGGCAGGGGCCAGGGAAGGCTTCCCAGAAGAGCCCAGAGCAGACAGGTTGGACCTGAGCCCAGCAGGGTTTTCTGGGAGGATGGAGGGAGACACAGAGGAAGTGGAGTGTCCCAGACAATACTTGAATGGTACATGTGACCTTTCCTCTGGGCCTTTCTTGGCCCGTGGTCACCAAGCACCTGCTGTGTGCCAGGCAGAACAGGCCCCTGCTATTTCGGAGCTGCTACAACAAATGAGACCTTGTCTGAGGGTGAGGAGAGTCACATGGCTGGGGAGGAGGCTTTAGCTGTTAGGGGCGCTTTTCAGAGCATCTGCCCTCTTGAGCTTGGGACCAAGGACAAGAGGACAGCAGCCCCAGCTCCAGGAGAGGAGAGGGAGATGTTCTAAGCTGAAGATGGGTAGAAGGGACCCTGCTGGCTGTAGGGGTGGGCTGGAGGGTGGGGGAGTGGGTACAGGGAGGCCGAGAAGTGGGGTAGTGGCCAGCGCCCAGTGGAGGGAGCTGAATGTATCCTGGAGGAGAATGACAGGACCGGTGAGTGGACTGGGGAGAGGGAAGGGAAGTGCCCTGGATGCCTGGCCAGGGAGTCTCTGGGGCCTGAGATGCTGGCACTGCCAACCTAGAGACTGGCTGGTCTCTGCCACTATCAGCAGGCCTGACTGGAGTACAGCTGCTTCTCTGAGGAAGAGGGGTAATCTGGGACGCGGGTGCCAGCCTCTCCCCTGCCAGGACCACTGGATCTGACCTGCCCCCTCAAGTGCCAGCTCGCCCATGTCTGCAGCCAGCTTCCGCATGCTCACAGCCTCTGAGTCACCCTGGATGTCAGGGACGGCATTCCGACGGCCCGTCCGGTCACAGGAGATGAAGTCCGAGTAGGAGGACTCGACCTCCATCATGCCTGTTGCATCGCTCCTCGGGCCTGTGGGGACAGGGGGCAGGAGGGCAGAGGTGAGGCAGAATGACAGCTACTGCCTTTTTCACTGCAGACAGAGCAGAAAGCACAGAAAATACAAAGAACAAAATCAGCCACCTATAACCCCCGACACAGCCAACCACCACCACCATCTCAAAGAACACAGCCTTTATTCTAAGGAAACATTGACACACTTATCAGTATCATGTGCCAGGCACTGGCTAGGTACTGTAGATGTAGCAGCAAACAAGTTGGCCATGGTCCCTGCCCTCACAGGGCTTATGATCTACCAGAGGCGGCATCCAACTACCCAGCACCTACATCAGGACCACAGTGCGCAGCCCTGTGAGGGAGAATGCAGGGTGCTGAGTGACTGCCAGGACCTGACCAAGGCTGGAGTTGGCAAAGTGACATGAACAGACATTTAGATGAAGAGTGAGAGGAAGAGCATCACAGAGAAGGAACATCTTCTCTGTGATGCACCTGTGAAGACTCTGAGGAAGGAGGGTATGGTGGGCTGAAAAGCAAAAGAGCCAGCAGGCTGGAGAATGGTGGGGCAGGGCCACTGGGGACAGTGCTGAGGTGGGCAGGGGTCAGACCACATCTGAAACTTGGACTCTGAGGGGTATCAGGCCAGGTTATGAATGATTAGCTGTGCGTTTCAAAGATGACTCAGGGTTCTAGCTGGAGCTGGGCCTGGAAGGAAGGAAGTTGGGAGACTTCCGTGGAGTTCCGGTACAAGAAGACAATGGTGGAGCAAGGCGGTGGCGAGGCCGACTTGAGATGTAATTTGGAGGACAAATCCATAATAGTTATTGTTTGATGGGGAACTTAGGTTGCGCTTGAATAAGTAGGTGGACAGCGGTGTGGCTTCCTCAACAGGGAATGTCAGCAGAGTATCTGGGGAGTGAAGGCGAGTTCTGGGGGTGAAGTTAAGAGTTCTAGTTAGTGATGCCAACCTTGTATGGCCTGTGAGCCCTCCCAGAGGACAGGGGGAGTAGATACAGGGACCAAAGGGGCTGGCGCTCAGAAGAAAGATGGGGTATAAAGGGAGGAAAGAGATGAAAGAAGAAATCATTACTATTGAGATGGGGACTAACAGCCCTCGTGGTTGAGGAACAGCCTAGGAATGAGAAGAAGACAGCCACAGCTGTAAAGAAGAGCCATATACATTAAGAAGCATATGGCCCTGGGCTTGAAACACACCCAAAAAAAATTACCTGGGGATCATACTACACATTGTGTTTTATAGCCTATTCTTTGGAACAAAGACCTGACCCTCTCTGAGCCTCTAGTTCCCCATCTGTAAAACAAAAGCAGGGCCAAAATTCTGTGTAAGGCGATTCCCCTTCTATCCAGAAGATGGCGCACCTTGCATATCTTTCTTTGCTGCCTGAGGGGTGGGGGTTCAGGCTCCTCCTCAGCTAAAGGAATTCCCAGAGGCAGTTCCTTTTGTAGGTCACAGTTTCACTTCAACCCTCTCCCTACGGGGAAAGTGCTCAAGTCTTCATATCAGGAGAATGGGCTGCTGTAATAATGGTAACAATAGCATAACCACCAGTCCAAATTATGAGGACAATGCTAATAATAGCAAAGGTAGTGTGACCAGGAATTTATGCTTTGTATATTTCACTTAATGGCTGGCACAGTGTCTGAGCTAAGTTTACAAGCCTGAATGGGAAGGGCCTCAGCAGACCCTCTGGGTCCTAGGCCTAGGCTCTGCTCCCCTGTACCTGCTGCTCATGGGAAGGGTCTGACCCTGTCACACCACTCTGTCCCCTGAAGCCTCGATTTCTTCAGCTCTTGTTCTCTGGTTAGAGTCAGCTCCATGAAAACAGGAAGCTTCTCACCATGCAAACAGACAGGACCAATCCCAGCAGCTGTGCTCTGGCTGCTCCATCCCTGCACCCTCCGCCGAGCAGCACCTGGGGGAGAGCAGCTGCTCTGTAACCGCTCCCAGGATCACATTTCATCTGTCTATCCATCCAGGCATCAATCCAGCCCCTCTGCCACCACCTCTCTAGGGATGATGGACTGTCTCCGTCTCAGGACCTGAGAAAGGCCTGCAGAGTGCTGCTCTTCTTGTCTGGTATCTCCAGGAGGATACCTTGGGATGGAGTTACAAGCTCATCTAAAATGCTAGCCTCACTCTGCGACAGACACCCTGGGGCTTTGCCCCGCCTGACCCTACAAGCTTCCCAGGACAGAAAGCTGCCCATCCTGGCACAGAGAGGGCACTCTGACAAGCTCAAAGCCCAGTCTTGGAACACACCCACCAAGCCATCTGGAGCTCACTCAGCTGCCCCCTCCCCATCTCTGCAGGGCCCTGAGAGCCCTCTGTTCCAAAGCACCAGTGTATCAGATTCTCATTTCTCTTACACATTTGTGCTCATATGTGCTCATATTCTGCTCTTTAAAGTTAAAAGCAAATGGGAAAATAAAAGAAAGAATCCTCAGAGTGGGATATTGTGCCAGCAAATGGTCACTCTCATTTTAGGGGTTTTGTTTTGTTGTTTGGTGCTGGGGTTGAAACTCAGGGCGTCACACAAAGCAAATGGTTATTCTCAAATCCTGTCATTGAGAGTGTAAACTACCAAGGACTTCTTTAAAAATGGCTTAACAATAGGAAACAAGAAACCTCAACTTTCTTATTATCCTTGAGCCATTAAGTCAGTTTATAATAATTTATTATAAGAAAATAATCCCAGTTGTGCATGAAAATAAATGTACAAAGATGTTCATTGCAATAATATTTAAAATTCCAGAACAACCAACTATAAAATGGAGAAATATATAAATATGCTAATTTATATTCAAATGAAGTATCATTCAGGTATTATGATGTTTGTGAATTTTTGGGGGGGAGGTACCATGGATTAAACACAGGGGCGCTCAACCACTGAGCCACATCCCCAGTCCTTTTTATTTTTTATTTTGAGACAGGGTCTCAATAAGTTGCTTGGGGCCTTGCTAAGTTGCTGAGGCAGGCCTTGAACTTGCGATCCTCCTACCTCAGCCTCTCAAGCTACTGGGATTACAGGTGTGTGCCACCATACCCAGCAATATTTTTAAAAGATATGAGGAAATCTTCACATATATTGTCAAATGGGAAAAAAAGCCTCAATTGTACAATCACATATTTAAATTGAGTAATTTTTAAATCTTTTATATTAAAAATTTTTTACATAAAAGCACTCATATCATTTTTAATTAATTAATTAATTATTGTGGTTCTGGAGACTGAACCTGGGAGCTCACACATGCTGTCATTGAACTACCTCCTTGGCCCCCAAATAATTTTTGACTATGTGTGAAAGTGGCATAAAGCTCAAAGGGTACAAGAGGAAAGACACAAGTATTCAGAATCCTCCCAGCCTACCCCAGACACCTTCCCCACGCAAGCCCTTTCTTAGATCCTTCCAGTCTATGACATCTCCAAATTCCCTCCTTCTTTCCTTCCCTTTTCTTTTATTAAAAACAATATTTTATTTTCCATCATTCTTTTTTTTCAATTAAAAATATGTTTTAGAAACAATCTCAAATCACCTTGAAACCACTGTAGTGTGATTGTATCAAGACACTGGAAATAAATCCTAAGTCCTTATAGAGCTAGATTGTTCTTCCTATTGGCTACAGGGTATTTTGTTGTCTCTCTACTGTAGACTGATTTAATCTCTTTCCTACTGATGGACTTTTAAGAAAAATTCCTCTTGGTTCATTTTGTGCCACTAAAACAAAATATCTGAGGCTGGACAATTTATAAGGAACAGGAATTTCTTTCTCTCAGTTCTGAAGGCTGGGAAATCCAAGATTGAGGTACGAGCATCCTCAATTTCAGGGTTTTGAGGTAAGGGTTGCTGTCTGCTTCCAAGATGCTGCCTTGATTGTTGTGTCCTCCGGAGGGGAGGAACAGTGTGCCTCACATGTAGGAGGCAGGTAGAAGTGACAAAAGAGGCAGCCCCCCCAAGCCTTTTATAGGGGCATCTAACTCACTCACAAGGAGGGGTCCTCAGAGCCTAACTGCCTCTCCACAGGATCACAGGGCAACACCTGGATGATGAACAGACAGGTGCAAAGCACAGCTTTCCCTTCACTGCTCTGTTTCATGGGTACCCTTATCCATGACATTTTGTATGGGTTTGTTTGTGACATGAGGGTGACAAACAGAAGCTGGTTCCTGTAGTCTGGGCTGTTCTCGCCTGCTTACCAGTCGGGAGACTCTGGACAGCTCCCCTCACCTCAGCAACCTGGGAGCAAAGCAACAACCTGTGGCTCACGAGATTAAGGAGACAATGATGCTCCAGAGCCTGGTCAGGTGGGGGAGCGGAAGAAGCACGTGCGTGATTAATAGAACATTAGTCTAGTCCACTTGAGGGGGGAGAGACTGGGGAAACTGACCTTCTGATGCTTTTCCTCTGTGCTTAAAGGTGCCATTGAGACCAGAACCTATGGGTCCTTCTTCAGTGCCTCACTGAGACCCTTCCCCTTGCCCAGCTTCCTTCCCCACATCTAAATAAGGAAAATTGAAATGTGAGCTTTAAGTCCCTCTCCCAGCCTTGCCAACTCATTCATTCACTGACCACTAACATCCTCTTCATGCCTGTGCCAGGTGTAGGACACACCGGAGGCCAAACAAGACATTTATAGGCTGCTGCTAGAAGAAGGTAAAGAACAAGTAAATTCCTCAATTGTGGCAGATTATGACATGTGCGATAGAAGGACAGGAGAATGTTCTGCTGTGTGGATGGTTTGGTTAGAGGTGGCATGGTCAGGGAAGGCCTCCTTGAGGAGGTGACTTTGAGCTAAAATGACAGAAAAGGTAGAGTGAGCCAGGAACCAATCCAGGCAGAGCCCAGAGTCAGTGAGGCTGACATCTCTCACTTCAGCCTGAGCCTCCTGGGCTGCTAAGGAAAGAAGCCTCCTCTTCCTCATCCCTAGGGGGCGGGGCCTTTGTGGGGTCTGAATGCTGGTGGGGCATCTGACTGACCTTGGACGTCCAGGATGGA